TTATAGATATCTGTAATTCAGTTTTGACTAGTCAGAATGACGTTATAGATATCTGTAATTCAGTTTTGACTAGTCAGAATGACATTATAGATATCTGTAATTCAGTTTTGACTAGTCAGAATGACATTATAGATATCTGTCATTCAGTTTTGACAAGTCAGAATGACGTTACAGATATCTTAAATTAAAATTCATACTAGTCACAATGACATTACTACTAGTCAAAATGACGTTATAGTTATCTATAATGGTAATTCCGGATAGTCGGACTTAGTGATTAAATGTTAAAACGGCTTGCCATAGGCGCCCCATGTACAAGGCTGTTGCCGCAGCGGCCCGGGTTCAAATCCAGCCTGTGGCCCTTTGCTGCATGTCATCCCCCCTCTCTCTCCCCCCTTCATACTTACCTGTCCTGTCCATTAAAGGCAAAATGGCCAAAAAAAAAATCTTTAAAAAAAAAAGAACAACCCAAATGTGTCTGCATTTTTCATTTATTTTTCATTTTCATTTCTGCCACACTATCAACACATGCTCATTCTTCCATACAGGTAGGCCTACGTGTGGTTCTCAATAAAAAGTAAATACATGCTATCTATAACTAGGTTGTAAATAAACCATAAACATCAAATATCAAATTAAATTAAAAGTATTAAATACATCTGCATCAATAACCTGGAAAATAAGGCAACAGTTCACAAAGAGACAAACCAGGCATACATTTAACCACTCATACTGCCATCTACTGGTGGAGAGTCAGCTTAACCGACTTCCACTCTGTTTCGCTCAGGCAACAGCGCATTACGGTGGAAACCCAGTTAAATACAACTTCGAACAGAGAGAGAAGCAGCGACGGAGGGAGAGGCGCCGACGGAGGAGCCCGCTGCGCCAACATCACCCACTGCGCTGTCCACAATGAGTGACCTGCCTCCCTGCCTACCCTTTTTGAAGAAGAGATAAAACGTTACCAGAATGAGACACCACTACGAGCCGACCAGGATCCACTCTTGTGGTAGAAAACTACAGGCGCACTGAAGTAGGTAGGTAGGTAGGTCAGAACAGGTGTTTTCATCTGAGTGTCACGTTCATATTGTGCCAGCAATAAGCAGCTTATTTTTGGTGGGGTTTTTTTGTAAAAAATAAAATAATAATAATAATAACAATAATAATAACAACAACAACAATAATAATAATAATAATAAATTCGAATATTATTTGAACTCTACTAAATTAATTCGAAAATATTCAAAATCAGTTTCATGGTGCTTTTGACAGCCCTAATACACACTGCACTAGTTGGATCATTACAGAGGTCACTGATGAAACAGATCATCATGAGTAAAAGGCCTGCATGCAGAACTTAGCCTGCGTAAGCGGCACAAGGTGTTTGATGGAGGTGGCTTGTGAGGTCATGTGACACTGCGGGTTGTGTTTTCTAGAGGCTAGAAGTGGCATGAGGATAAGAGAGGGAAGTTGCAGGAGATGCACCAACAAGAGGGTAAAAAGCCACATGGAAGCACTGAGGGGTGTGTGTGTGTGTGTGTGTGTGTGTGTGTGTGTGTGTGTGTGTGCGCGCGCGCGCGTGTGTGTGTGTGCGCGCGCATTTTTATGTGCGTGATGACTCACCCTCAAGCGTCTCCCAATGTGGCTTGAAGGCTGCAGTCACTCTGTTCATTTCCGGGCTCTCAGTATCACACTAGACGGAGCAGGAGAGCACACAGGTCAGGCAGAGTCAGCACACACACAGATGGAATTATAAAGACGACCACACTAGCAAATGGCCTGTCAGTACACCTCGGTGTCTCCACCACCGCAGAATGATTCAATCATAGAGGCACAAAAGCAGCTCCTGTACCAAACTCTTTAAAAATAACTTTTTAAAAACAACAGATTCACATAGGCTGCAAACTAATGAAAACATAGTCAATAGTAGATACCATGGCAACCACAAATGTGTGGCGTCCCACTGTGAACCACATGTTACCATCTGTGCTCAGAGTACTTAAATGAATTCAACTTTTATTTACATGCACAAACAGATGGACCGAGTTTATACTATAGAAATATAAAAATAGATCATTAGAATCATATCAGTGCATTATCTAAGTGTGAATGAAAAGCATCAGTGTATTATTATCATCACTAAATCATGCACAGCTGAGATGAGCCATGCCCTTATTGGGATGCTTGGAGATCTAATGGAGTGATCATGTGACTTAAGCCTAGTTCACATTACACGATTTTCACCCCAATTTTGCGTTGCGGAGACTATCGTAATCTTTTGAGTGTTCATACCTGGCGAAGTGTGTTTCTGTCAGCGGGAGTCTCGCCAACTGTGTTACAACCTGTGTGTGCACACCACAAGATTTCTCCACCGAAACCTCGCCGACAGAGGCCCAGATAATGTGGTGACGTCACCTAACTTGGAGACGACACATCGTACAGGCATGAATATTCTTTATTATCCTGGGTCCAAACACAACGCGCTCCCCGTGATCCTGTGGACGCCGCCATTGTTGTTGTTGTTGCTTGCTGGCCGGCTTTCAGTGTTGCCAGATCATGGGAGAGAAACAAGCAACCAGGGCTATGGAAACAAGCCAAAAAGAAGCGACTGCAGTCCGACATAGCCTACTATCATGCGTTCAAATAACTTATTAGATGGATGTATAGAGAAGGTGACATTTAGAGAGCATGCCCAAATAAGCAACTTCACTTTAGAAACAAGCCCAAAGTCGCGGCTAATAAGCGGCAACCCTGTGGCTTGTTCTCCTCACATTTCTTCCGTCCTCCTGCGTGCTGACGTAGGACGTATCCCGCCTCTCATTGGCTGATGCTGTTTGTCAGTCGTGTCAGCCTTCTCCAGTTTTCTAGCATGCCAGATATCCAGTCCCAAGCCCCTTTTATACTGCCAGATTTTCCTCGAATGTTGGGCCATTTTGCCGGCAAGCTGCGAGCATTTAGACACACAGAGCCAGATTGGCGAGTTGATCCGAGGTGCCCAATTTCCCACCTCGTAGGATAATTATATTGGCGGAACTCTTTAAGTTTAAACAGACCGAGGCGGCCTTCTGCAACGGGAGAGGCAGTGGATGACTTGTGGGAGGAGCTGTTGATGACGCCGCACGTGCGAGCCACTGGCGGTGGATAAATAGGAAACAGCTGATAGCAGGAATTAGCAAGCAGCTAGTAGCAAGAGGGAAACGCAAACCAGACAGACACTGTAAAGATGAGCAACTGAGGAGACAAAGAATTGCGCACCCTCCTTGCCCTTGTGCACAAAGAGGCCATTAACCGTCATGACGGGAACGGGGAAGAACAGGCCGACTTACGAGAGAATCGGCGAAGGACTGACCAGCCATGGGAACTGCCCATCGGTCCAACATCCCATTGTTCCGACCATATTAAAATGAATGAAAAAGAAAATGGCAAACACATAAGCCGTGAGCCTGCTTCGCCTCAAGCCTTTCCCAGCTGACCCAGAGCCGTTCGTGGGGCACCATAAAGGCAGAAATATGCCCGACGGGAGCCATTCAGCACCGTCGGACTAATGGGATGTCGGACCAATGGGCTGTCGGACCAATGACATGGACCCCCAGCCACGGCTTCCCTCCCACGACACTATTTATGTCACACGCTGAGCTACACATTTTGTTACTTGCTCACGCCCCCCATTGCCCCAAAAAATATTATCTAAGTTATTGACCATTAAATCAAGGTCTGCTTACTCTCTTTTTCATTAGCTTTCTAACACATTGTTCCCTCTGTGACAGCAGATGCAGTTTTAACACATTAAAATCAAATAATATACTGCAAATGCATATCTATATACCCAGGGGCTACACAATGAAGCTGCTGCCATGCCAGAAAAAAAACAAAACACTGATCAGCATCAGGTAATAAGTTGAAAGGTTTCTTGTAATAACAAGATGTGTTTCACGTTTTTACACGATATTTTCATGTTATATCAAGAACAAGACAGGACAAGACAGTGCCAAGGGTTTATCAATACATAGCACAGTAAAGTACCTGATGTTTTGGGGGTTAATCAGGATTTTTTTGGATGCTTTCGCTTTTGGATGCACATGATAAGTGATCACGTTATAACCAGAGTTGGGTATAACGCATTAGAGTACTTTGATTACTTTTTGCAGTAACGAGTAACCTAACGCATTAGATTGCTGTTTGAGTAATCAAATACTTGAGTACATTTTCAAACAAGCCATCAGTTACTTCTGTTACTTTTAGAATGCTGGTCCTTCAGCTCCGAAACAGCAACAGTTGTCTTTTGGTTCTAGTAACGGAGATAACGTTAAACCTATCAGTCCGAAAGAAGTCATGAAGCTTGTGGCTAGCTACATGGTAGAAGAAATGCTGCCATTGTCTACGGTAGAGTCTAAAAAAAAAAAAGGTGGAGGAGGACTCGCTGACAGACAGGTCATACTCAGGAGGACTTGCATTATGCCTGGTACACACTACACGATTGTGGAGTCATAAAATCGTGCTGTGACTTGGCCGACAGACATGACACACTACACGATGGTACTCACCAATTATCCCGGTCGTCTTTCACGACATGTGTGATGTCATCGGGTTATTCTTGTCCTATTTTTATTACTTTTACGATCATCTGAGTCACTGTGTCTTTTCATGTGCAGGCTGAAATGTTGTTGTAGTCACCTAAAAGCATCAGCAGATGGCAGGAGCTTCATTTGAAGTGCCATACATAAACATTCAAGCTACTGAATCCTCCACAACCAAGTTCCTACAAATGTTTCACAATAAAAGCCTATTTAGAAAATGGAGGGATTCTCTCAGCCGAGATTATAAGGAGCTTTTAATTTGAAAGAAATTCAGGAATTGTTGAACTTAAAATGAGGGCACGATATGTTAACTTTATGAAGACAAAGGGAGCGGATAAAAAGTAAGAATATAAAAACACAGAGGGATTAATAAATAACGGACCGTCTATAATGTAGTCTGTTTCAAATGAAGCTGGGAGCCTCTGCAGTTGTGGTGAGTAAAAGCCCCGCCGCTATTTGTTAATGTTATTATTTTATGTCCATCTCCATGAGAATGTAACATTGTTTGCTAGCTTGATGCTAATGACAATGTACTCTGAGGGTTGACAAAGTGCCTCTGCTGTTTCACACCATCATTTCCCCCTTTTACTCTGTGTGGTAACATCCCTAGAGGAAATATTAAAAATGCTGGGGTGTTGTTGTCATACAGTTGTCTACAGCAGCAGATCGTTCTGTGTTTCTACTGGTCAAAGTGACGGCTGTGATGGGAGAATTGGATCTCAGTGAAGGGCAAGTGGTCCATAACTTTAATTTTGGAGACAAAAAA